CAACAAAGAAATGAAACAAAACTTTGACAGAACCAAATACCGTTTAGGTCCACCCGCGGTAGACCATTACGGCCAGGAAGTCCTACTTTGCTGTTTTAAATACTATCACAAGCGTTGGCCTACATCAACAACTTCAATTCTCATATTTGTTCCATAAAAATGTATTAATTTAACCTCAACAGTCTACTTTCTTCTCCCAGTAAGTATATGTGCATGTTAGAGTCTTTTGTCTCAAGGTTGGAATTTTTTTTTTTTTTCTTTGTGGAGCAGTTTTATTAGCTTCATTTGAGGATCAACTTTGTAATGTTGAGCAGCATTTTTTTGCCGGTTAATCCGAGGGACCTGAAGCAAGTGTTTTATTAACCAAGAAAAATCTGACAATCTAACAAAGGAACAATTTGTTTCGTTTTTTTTAATTTTTTTTATACAATCAAGTTTATAGCTTTATAATTCACATTGTGCATTATTGCAAATATTTTCATGTCTCGAAACACTTTCAGTGGGGCAATTTCAAACACGTACATAGGTTTCTATTTCGCTTTTGTATTTCTGAATGGGTAGTACGTCTTTTAAGGCCGGATCTTATGTAGCGAATGTTGTTTTTTTTCCATCAGTGTTCGTTCAAGGTTGCAAAGACGTTCGCCAACAATTTGAATGATCTGAGACAGGTTTTCTTGCCATAAAGGAAATTTTGCACATATTTAAAAAATTTATGACAAGAAAAAAACTGTTTGCAACCATGAAAAACTGTTTGGAAATGTCTGGCAAATGTTTTCAGCATTCAATGAACTCTGACCCAAAAAAACCCCCAAAACCATTCCCTACATGCGCAGATACGTGCAAACTTTTGCGGCTCAATGAAATACGGGCTTAAAGGGGATGCCAATCCCAAAAATGTCCTTACGATTATATATTCCATCCGCCCCCACTAATCTAAACACATTCTGATGAATATTGCGAACGTGGAATATGAGTCAAGTCATTAAATCCACCAATTTTTGTCCATCTCATTGGGCAGCCATTTTCCCACTGGCTGTTGACTGGAAAAGACATCACAAGTTGATCAGGGCTCAGGTAACAATCAGGTCATCAAGGCTCAGCTGTTTTCTGAGTTTGGTCATGTGACATTAGCAGCCTGAGCATTGGAAAAATGGTTTTGACTTCCGCTTTAATCCAAGTGAAATTAAAGGAAAAAAGAGCTACTCAAATGTAATTTATTGTGTAAAATCTTAAAAATCTTTGATCCTAAGTGTTGCTATTTAATGTGTTTTTATGAGGCGCAAAATGAGAATTTCGACTGCTTATCTCGAGCTAAAGGTTTAGGGATAGCCTCTAGCATGCCCGCAACCCTCATGAAAGATTAGACAATGGATGGATGGATATTTCGAGCCTTGTGTGTAATCAGATTTCAGCTTCTGCGGGCTGCCATGCCACTCTAATTTTCCCATGGCCTTCAGAATGAGCCCAATAAGCAAAGAAATTTCAATTCCTAGCAATGGGGTTGTTTTTTTTAACCGATCAGATTTCAAATTGGTGCTCACTGGGCTAGCCAGGGACAGCTCTGGCCCTTGATGATGTATTCATTTTTGTTTCTTCTGATTGGTTGGTTTGCGCATAACTTGTTCCAGCCAACTTTGACCAGCCAAACACGTACGTAGGAATCTGCACACATTAATGTGTTTAGAATCAGCATATTTCATCAGAATGATATATTTGCTTATTTTCTCAAAATGTGTTTGTCCTTTTAGTAGAAGACTATTAATTTTGAACTGATAATGAGGCACGGATATGTGTGTGGTTATAATCACATTTTTGTAATATTATTGATGGCTTCTATGATTGTGACATGATAGCAGTGGTATTAAGTGTTATGTTTTTGTTTCGGTTGTATTTGGTTTTGTTCCCTCATGTGCCCTCCACCCGTTCTCGTCATCCGTGTCCCTTGTGTTTAACCAATCAGCTCCCTCAAACCTTCGTGTCTTGTCCAGGTGTTTCTCGTTACTTTGCCTGTATTTAGTTCCCTGGGTTCTGTCAATCTTGGTTGGATCATTGTGGGTGTCTGTGTACCCGTGTCATAGGTTTTTGCTATTTGGGTTCCTTGTGCTTTTCAAGACTTTGAGTACTTCAGTTAGTTTTGTCCAGTGGAGTCCTGTTTACGTTTTTGTTAAATACATTTTGTTCAGCCCACCCTGCTACTCCCTGCTTTTTTTGGGGGGGGTCCTCCGCCTACCACATGCAAAACCTTGACAGAATGATCCAACCAAGACTGGACCCCAAGGGACCTGAGACCTGGTCCCACTGCCACCCGTTCCTGTTCCCGGCGGCGCAAGTGTTGTACCCCTGCCCTGTTTCTGCCGAGTCAAGCCATTGGGTCATTTTGGGACGTCTGTGATCCGTCCCTTGAGGGAGGGGTACTGTTATGTTTTTGTTGAGTTTACATTTGATTTAGGTTCCCTCGTGTACCCTTTTTGTCTCCCTCCCTCAACCCTTTGTGTCTTGTCCAGGCGTTTCTCGTGGTCTCGTCACTTGGCTTGTATTTAGTTCCCTGGGTTCTGTCAGTCTTGGTTGGATCATTGCTGTTGTCTGTCACGTTTTGTTTTCTGGCATAGGTTTTTACTACTTTTGGTTTCCTGTGGTTTTCCAGGACTTTTGAGTATGAGTTTTCTCCAATGTACCCTGCAAGTGTATTTTTGTTAAATACATCTTGGTCAGTCCACCCTGCTCCTCCCAGCCTTTTGGGGTCCTCCAACCAACTACCACCAAGTAAAACCTGACATTAAGAGGTGAATTGAATCACAAAGTGTCCACTGAATGCCCAGGTTTGAAATGCATAAACTGCCACTGAATTCTACCTATGGGGGGGGGGGGGAATATCCTCATGGGAGTAAACATCGTGGAAAATTCTCTATCTTCATATGACATGAGTCACTTCCTTTACATTGGCGCAATCATTTCTATTCACGAAGCTCACCAGAGCCAGGTGTACTCTGTAACTGATTATAACTTTAGCCGAATTAAGGCATTAGTTTTAGCCTGTTATCCCCCTTATTTTCATTTGACCACACCAAAGAATTACTTGAAATATTTGCACCAATCCATTGAACCTTCCATCCAGTCATTTTCTGATCCACTTATCCTCACAAGGGTCGCAGGGCATGCTGGAACCTATCCCAGCTGTCTTAGGGCAGTAGGCGAGGACATCCTGAACTAGTTGCTCGCCAATCGCAGAGCACACAGAGACAAACAACCATTTGTGCTCACAATCACACTTGGGGCCAATTTAGAGTGGTGCATTAACCTGACACACATGTTTTTGGAATGTGGTAGGAAACCGGAGTACCTACGCAAACTCCCCACAGGAAGGCCAGAGCCGGGATCGAAACCTGCACCTCTACACTGTGAGGCCTACGTGCTAACCAGTCGACTACCGGACGGCATGCAATTGAACCTGATGACTTAAATGAGACCGAATATAAGAGCTCACTTATGATGGACTGAGATGTATTAATTCAACAATGCATCGTTGTGGTTGTAGTTCTCTGCAAAGTAGCGAAAGCTTAATCCAGCTCTGGCCTGATTTCAAGACAATAGAGCAAGTCTTTCACTTACTTGAAGGTGAATTTCAAAGCATGATCAAGACCAAAAAGGTTGCAGTGCAGGCCTGGCATGTATCTTCAGGCAACACAATTAGGATTTGGTCATGCAGGCTTCACACTTTAATCAGTGATAGGTTTTGTACCCATGAAATGGGTGTCTCGCCGAAATGTTAAATGTCACATTTTGTAAAATCACTTAAGGCTGAAAGTTGAAAATAAAGTAAAGCTGCAAATTGATACAATTCAATCACATTTAGATATTTTTTTTATTTCAAATCCATTGTGGTGGTGAAAGAAATCATAAAAACTCTTGCGTTGTCTAAATACATCTGGAATATTCAACATATTTACAAATAAAAATATTCTGGGTAACTTCAAATGATTAAAAATATCAGGTCACAACTTTTATTGTAACTTGACAACAAAACGGACAAAAAGAAAAACAGGCGTCGTGGAAATTGTTAAAATAATGGTTAAAATTATTGATAAAATGGTAAAATACAAATGGTTCACAAGAAAATTATCAAAATAAAGGAAATTACGTTGGTGAAATAAAAATTACAAACGTGTGTGAGCCAGCGCGCGCATGCGTGTGGCGTGCACCGAAAAACAAAAGTACTCGATAATCGGTTGCACGTGATTAAAACGTTTTACACAGAAATGTATCATTTATTTCTTTTTGAGGAAAACACGTGAAAATGATACAAGTTTAACACATTTTATTCACGTGCAAAGGATGTACATGTTCGAATTAAGTATAGTAAATCCAAAGGATCTTTTTTTTTTCCGTGTGGGCGTGCAAAACTGTGGAAGAAATGGTAGGTAATCAAGCATTGCGTCTTGTCACGAACGCTTCTCCAGGAAGTTGTTTGACATCACCTGTCAACGTTTTTTTGTCTCCATTGTCCATGCATATTTTGTGTAACAATCGTTACGTGTAGGCATAAAAGTACCTACCGACTCGATGTCACAGAATCAAGACGTTTCAGACTATGCAAATAGTGCGCAGGCATTTAAATTAAAGATCATGGCCATTCCTCAATGCATGATCTGAACCGCTTTATCATCACGAGGGTCGCCGGCGTGCTGGAAGTGTGTACCTGCAAACCAGTCGACGCCGTGCCGCCAAACATCATAACCACGACCCCCCCCCCCAAAAAAAAATATATTCTGAATTGCATGAAAATAAGCAAATGAAAACGCTAGCGGCCCCGCGCATTGTCTAATTACAATAACGAATGAGCGAGCGGACTGATAGTGTGTATACTTTACATAATTATCTCAGTCCTCGTTGAAGTGGTTAAACCGGGAGCCCAAGGCGGAACAAAGAAAAGAAAAAAACAAAACAAAAGAAAAACAAGGAAAACAAAATGCTCCAAATTCTTGGTGACGAAAAGTGTTTCCAGTGACGCGCCTTTATAAAAGCTCCGAGCTTGGCAACTCCCTTACTGTACACTGACTGCTGCTGCTGATTTAAACATCTTGGAGCTACTTCCTTACAGGTCACTTACAATACCTAAACCTTAAACAAACAAACAAACAAACAAAAAAGAAACGTTTTATTCGTTTTTATTTGGCATTGTTATTTAATCATATTAGCTTTAATTCTAAGAGTTTGACGTGGTGTTTTATTTTTCCCTTTTCTCCTCACCAGAGATGTTTCGGCGTGCGTGCCTGCTGCTTGCAGCGCTTTGCACGCAGTGGCAAGTGAATGCCCGTAAGTACAGCTTGCTCACACACATTTAATCGTATATGATTTCATATTTTCAACAGATTAGTTTTGATTATATTTCTGTATTTGCTTTCAGAATTTCTGAGCAGGGCGAGCCTTGAACAGGCTGTGAACGCCGCCATCACTAAGGTGGACTCGGCATATGAATATTCAAGACAAGAGTGAGTTCATAGATTTGATGAATAGACTTTTTGCACTGCAGCCGGGAAATGTTGAACACTAACCAGCCATTATTTTGATGTGAAAACAAATATTAGGACTCAATAGAGCTGCAAACTTAGGTTAATTTATGGTAGTGTATAGTTTATTTTTTGTTATAATGTTTGGCAACAGGGGGACAGAACAAAACATTTCTTTAAGTAAAAACAACTCTTTGGCATCTTGCGGCCTAGTTCATCTGCTTCACAGTTGTTCTCGGGGCAAACCTAGGCTCAAACCATCTCAGACAATTTGTTGCTTTAAGTAAATACATGAAATTAATATGGACTCGGTTTAGGTAGTAACCGTGTTAGCTTGGCCCTCTACAACTGTTTTGGTTCGTGGCTTCGTTCCTGACTTCAAAAAAACTGGCAACCCAAATGAGGACAAGCAGTGGAGGGAAATTTCTCCCAAACTTAATGAGCCTAGGCAGAAATTTTGCATTAGAAAAATCTTACGGCACGTCATTAAAAAGAATATCACAAATGTAGACTATACTGAAATAAACGACCATGTCTTAATTTACCCACAAATTTACTTACTCAGTGTGAAATCTGAGTATGTTTAGTTCAACCACGAGCTATTATTCCGTTGCATAAATGGCAATATGGATGCACTGGTTACTGGAATTCTGCCATCTTGTGGAAGAGCGCGGAATTGGAAGGTAGAGGGAACACAGCCGACTTGTATGCCATCTAGTGGATGTGGCTCCCGTCATTTCCTTTAAATTCAGCACAGGAGAGGTGCACAGTCTACATGGCGAAAGGACTCTGAAGTCCATGCAGGGGATCGGCACACGCAAAGTCCATTTAACAGGAAATGCTATCATGTGTCCTTGTGTGACAAGAGTTTTATCTCGTAGTCAGGGATCGGGTGGGGGCGGGGTGTCAATCACATTTTTTAAGATAATAACAAAAAAGACACGTCAGTTCAATTGGTTGATTTATTCGTTGATTCAGCGGGATTGACGCACACTGTTGTCATATTTATGAATGAAATGCGATGACATCCAACACAAATGTCCGCAGATCTCAGAATCTGTCTGCCTGCGCCTTGATCAAATCCACCCAAATCGCATTACACCACCTGCGCCACAACTTACCGTACACTTGCTTTGAGTTGGTCCAAAGCCTACCTCCTGTCGCAAAATTGTCAGGTGCCCTGTGGGCGTGTAATAGAAAGTGTCTTCGCTTGGCCGGAACGCCCAGCAAGGCGCAATGCGGTCTCCCAAATTCTCAAACAGGGTAAACTAGACTTGCCCTTGCACGAAGATGAATATACACCAGTTTTTCCACCAAGCGCATGTGCGCTGTTTACGAAAACAGGCTCCTACATTGTGCAGATGTACCGAATGAGAATTACTGCAATTGTGTTGTGAACAAGAGACTTGCTGTTCGTGAATGTGACCTCTTGGTGCTCCAGATGCCTTGATCGTGTCAGACGCAATGCAGGCAGACCTCAGGATGTGTTGCGCTTTTTCAAGCAACCTATGGGAATCACTCGCGAGGTGGCCCGATCTGCTGATTACATGGACGCCACACTGAATATCATCAAAAGGTCGGCAGAAAGACGTCAAAGACGTTCCATCAATGCCACAGGTGTGTGAAAATAGTATCTCAATATTAGTCAGTACTCAATGTTTGGGACTTTCCAAGATTGGATTTGCCTCAATGGTTTTGCGTTCCGACCCTTGAAACTTATATTCAGTCAAAACTCGGTTTTCGTCCTTAATCCGCTCCAGAAGGCTGTTCGAAAACCGAAATTGTTCGAAAACCGAAACCACGCTCTTTTTAAAATAAAAATGTTTACTGAACACGTCTGCTCACAATGGAAAGCATCACGAGGAAGCGTCACTTCCTCGTCTACCCGAGGAAGCGTCACTTCCTCGTGTAAGGAAGGCGAGAGGAGTCAAATGGTGCATTCAACTGCGCTCAGTTTGTTCGAGAACTGAAATTTGTTCATCATCCGAGGCATAAAAAACTCGAAATTTTTGGTCGAAAACCGAATTGGTCGAGAACCGAGACGTTCGAAAACCGAAGTTTGACTGTATATACTTTAGAAAGTTCGCCACACGTGACACATTCGTGCAGGTTTCACAATGAGGGGCAGAAGGAAGACTTGTTTGTGTGTGTAGATCATCAATAACTGATTTTGATATGATTTTGTCACTAGATTTGCTGTCTGAGGAAGATCTGGAGTTCATTGCAGAACTGACAGGCTGCTCACCTCGACAGCGCGTGCCCTCTTGCAAGACAACTCCCAATCTGAACGTCTTTCGTACCATAAGTGGCGTCTGTAACAACGAGTAAGACAACGGTCGTTCTTGCTTCCTTGCTTTTGGCCCTTTCCCAGTTTGATTGAATTTCTTAGCTTTTACACCCGAAATTGAGCACCACCCATGATGAGGCCCTGATTAATTCCACTTGCCTGCAGGCACAATCCTCGATGGGGAGCCTCTAACATACCATTCGTACGCTGGCTACCTGCTGAGTACCAGGACGGAATCTCGGTGCCCCGAGGATGGGACCCGATTAAAATCAATGGCTTCCTTCTTCCTTTGGTACGATCATCCTATTCTGCTTCTATGTAAAATCCAACTGAGGCTATGCAAATGAGCATATAGAGTTGAAATTGCTATCTTTGATTAAATGATGTCTTTATCATTTAAGGTAAGAGAAGTGTCCAATCGTATCCTGACCACACCCAACAGCGATGTAGTGAGCGACTCAGTCTTTACTCATCTGTTGCCCTCCTTTGGACAATGGACAGACCACGACCAGACCTTAGCGCCACATTCCCCGGTAATCCGTTCATTCAGCAACGGTCTGGATTGCGACGAGAGCTGTGAGCGCACCGAGCCTTGCTTCCCTATTTTGGTCAGTAATCTTCCATACTGTCTGGCTCACGCGGCACACCCGCAAACACAAACACACTCACCACATCTCGCCCTCGGTGCAGATTCCCAAGGATGGCCCGCGCTTTGGCAAGCAGGAGTGCATCCCTTTTTTCCGATCAACGGCAACATGTGGATCCGGCCCCACAGGGGCCATCTTTGGCGGTGCCACTGTGCGGCAACAGCTGAATTCCCTCACGTCCTACATTGACGCAAGTCAGGTGTACGGCTCAGATGACGAAAAAGCTCTGGAGCTTCGTGACCTCACCACAGATCTGGGCTTGTTGAGGGTTAATGAAGAGTTTAGTGACAAAGGCAGAGAACTGCTACCCTTTACCAAGATGATGGCCAATGTGTGTGCAACCCGAGCTCGCATCACCAATGACAAAAATGCCAAGGAAGTGCTTTGCTTTTTGGCAGGTGAGTGACAGGCTGAACGAGCTCATTTGCTATCTTCTACTTCGGAGATTCTGTATTCCAACTATTTTACTTGATGTCAACTTTGAAGGTGATGAACGTTCCAACGAGAACATTATTTTGACTTCGCTGCACACACTCTTTTTACGTGAGCACAACCGTCTGGCTCGAGCCCTGGCGAAATTAAATCCTGACTGGAATGGAGAGAGACTGTACCAGGAAGCCCGCAAGATTTTGGGAGCCTATCTCCAGGTTAGAGCTGGCCTCTCATGAACGATAATCTTGTTTGATGAATTGTCCTGTTTACATTCTTTGTGGTCTCTTAGATTATTACATTCAGAGACTACATCGGCTATATTGTTGGTCCTGAAGTTTTAGCCAAGCAGCTCTCCACCTACCCTGGCTATGATAAATTCATCGACGCCACAATTTCCAACGTATATGCAACAGCTGCCTATCGATATGGCCACTCGATGATTCAGCCATTTGTTTTCCGTCTCGATGCGTCTTATGAGGATCACCCATTGTACCCCTCACCATTGCTGCACACAGCCTTGAACACACCATGGAGGATTGTCTTTGAAGGTATAGTCCCTGTCTGCAGCTGCCTTCTACTCCATGCCCTTGCATATGATTACAGGACATGTAAAAATGGTTTCAGGTGGTATAGACCCAATCTTGAGGGGCCTTGTGGGTCGGCAGGCCAAGTTGAACGTTCAGGATGCCATCATTACTGATCAGCTGAGAGATTTGCTGTTTAGATTCTCTTTTGAGATGGCACTGGATCTGGCCTCTCTCAATATGCAGCGTGGACGTGACCACGGACTCCCTGGTATCTGTTTCTTGCTGACTTCCAGCATACACAACCCGTTCGTTATCACAAGAGTGGATTTTTATTAGGTTTATACCTGTCTTCTCAGGATATAACCAATGGCGCAAGTTCTGCGGTCTGTCACAACCAAGAAATCTGGAGGAGCTGGCTGAAGTGCTGAAAAATAAGGAATTGGCGATAAAGATTCTGGATTTGTACGGCACACCTGATAACATTGATCCATGGCTCGGAGGAATTACGGAGCCTCTGGTGAAAGGAGGAAGAGTTGGACCCTTGTTTGCCTGCCTGATTGGAATTCAATTCCGCAAAGCTAGAGAGGGAGACAGGTAAAGAGATATGAACAAATACATGCCGTTAAGCTGCTTTCACGTACAAACTCGGTGACAAAAATCTTCTTTCCAGATTTTGGTGGGAGAATGATGGAGTATTCACAAAGGCCCAGAGAGCATCTCTGTTGACGACGTCAATGTCTCGCATTATCTGTGACAACACTGGTATCACAGAAATTCCAAACCAACCGTTCCTGTTCCGGCCACGGGGTGATGGTTACACTGACTGCCGTTACATCCCGGAGTTTGACCTCACTCCATGGAAAGACACCCGTGAGTCCCATGGAAAAAAAGCTTGAGAAAAAGACTGCCGTTTGTCTTTGTGTTTTGGAATGACTGACTTCATCATCCTATGTATTCTAGCGTATGGATTTCCTGACTCCAAACCAGACACCAAGCCCACTCCAGGTGTGTGAAACACACATAAAACACACGTTAATTGGACCTTCTGATCTATCTATCCATCTATCTATGAAAGAATAATAACAATTTCAATTGCAAATTCATTGCAAATGCCTGTCGCTCTGACCTTTGCAAATTCAATACTTTGCAATCGGAATTGAGTAATTTCAAAACTCTCTTGAAATGCTTGACTAAAAATTGGATTTTGACTGACTGCTATCACCCATTGATTGATTCCAGCTCCCTGGTCAGCATGGGCGGCCTGGTCACCCTGGTCAGGCATGACACCTGGAGGATATGGCCATCAAGGACCTGCAGGATATGGACATCCTGGACCTGCAGGATATGGACAACCCGGACTCCCTGGACCCCCAGGTAAACATATTGATGGCTTTTCTTTTCAGGACACACAGGTGCCTGTATACCCTTAAAACTGGCGGGTTAAAAATTACCCAGCAGTTTTAAGGTTGTTACCTATCTATGTTTTTCCTTTTCCAGGAACTCCAGGTGCCTATCTATCTGTCTATGTTTTTCCTTTTCCAGGACCTCCAGGAGCCCCAGGGTCCTTTAGCGCTGAGAAAATGGCTTTCTCTGTACGGCTGAGCAATAATTTCCCCAGACCCGGTATTCCTATCCCCTTCCAAGAGGTCATCTATAATGGGCAGAACAGCTATGACATCAACACAGGCATATTTACTTGCATGTATCCAGGAGTGTATGAATTTCAGTTCTCCTGCACCATCTTTGAGCATGCGGCGAGTGTGGATCTGATGCGTAATGGAGAAGTAATTTTGCACTCATTCACCACCAAGCAGGAAGGTTACATCTCAGCCAGTGGAAGCACATACATTAAGCTGAAAAAGGGAGACAAAGTATGGCTTGTAGCTAACTTTGGTGGCAATGGTCTGACAAGAGACAGCTACTTCAGTGGGCATTTGCTCTTTTCTGAGGACTAATCACTAGTACAAAACATCTTGAAGAATAGTTACAAATGGAAACGCTCATGTGCTAACGTTTGGTCCTGTTCAATACAAACGCAAAAATACTGTTGCATCTGCATTGACCCCCTTTTTTTAAAGTTTGGTTTAATTTCACGGATAGCTAGCTAGCTAGCTAGCCAGATAGATAGATAGATAGATAGATAGATAGATAGATACTACATTCATCCAGGGCGTGTACAAATGTTGCGCTTGTTTGGTGTGTGTGTGTGTGTGTGTGTGTGTGTGTGTGTGTGTGTGTGTGTGTGTGTGTGTGTGCGTGTGCGTGTGTGCGTGTATACATATATGTCTATATATCTTACAGCTGCATATTACTTGTGCTATGTGATATTGTGTTCTCCTTCTTTGAAAATAATTCATCATTTAAAAATATTTTCCTTTTCCCCTCTTCCGAAACAATGACTTCCCACATGTCACAGGATATTTTTGACAGGAGCACAACTGAATCATCTTAAGCGAAAAGCTATTCTTTTCTGCTTTGTTGCCATAATTAAATTGAATATGCCAATAAATATATGAATACAGCATGTGTCTCTACAAGATGAATCATATCAAACTTTGAAGATAGATAACGGAATTATCATTATTTTGCTCAAAGGGTTGATTCTAATATTTCATAAGATTGATGAATATGATCTAAGTTATCTGAATACACTTTAAAAGCACACACACACACACACACACACACACACACACACACACACACACACACACACACACACACACGCGCGCGCGCGCACACACAGCATCCCAATGCAGTACAATATTTGCATATTAGAATTTGTTACCAGCCATGGGTGCCACCAAAGAGTCGGGGCCCTTTGAGCTGTGAAATATCACTTTGGGCCCCACCACCAAAAGCTGAAAATTGCAAATAGTATTTTCTAGAAATCTTTTCTTAAAATCACCATTACTTGTGTAAAACCTCAGCCACCAAAATGAATTTTCAAACATCCAAGACCAGGGGTGTCAAACTCCGGTCCTGGAGGGCCGCTGTCCTGCATGTTTTCCAAGTCTCCCTGTTGCAACACACCTGATTCAAATGAACAGGTTTAATGTCAGGCTTGCGCAGAGCTTGCTGATGATCTGATCATTTGAATCAGGTGTGTTGCTACAGGGAAACTTGGAAAACATGCAGGACAGCGGCCCTCCAGGACCGGAATTTGACACCCCTGTCCAAGACCCTGCAAAATTTACTTCAAATTGCCATGACCACAGTAATATAGTTAACAGTAAACTTTTGGGTGGTGGTACAATTTTGCATATTGCGCTATCTTGAGTTAATTACACTCATACTTCTGCCACAATCCTCTCTGTAGGTTAAACAAATAAAATGACATTTTCTTCTATTGACCAGTTGATGGCGCTAATATACAAGGTACAATATAGGCAGGGCCACAACCTGTGGCATTTTACTTTCCAAAATCCAGTTAGGAGAAATGTAAATTCTCCATAATAGCATGAGAAAGAGTTTAGTATTGTCATAGTTAGCGTTCTCCCTTTGTTTTAATGATATTTTTTGTTTTGATTTTCAACTCTCCTGTTCTGTTGAATTTTATGTCTTCAACACGCAAGGATCACACAAACATTTAAAACTTGGATGACCAAAAAATTTACTGTACATCAATATTAATAACGTGATCTGAATAAATGTGTAACATTGGCTGCTCTGACTAATTAATAGTAAAAAAAATAATAATAAATAAGAAGAATTGCTTTGAAAATGTGATTTACAGTTTTAAATGTTTAAAACAGTACATACAATGAAATTACTGTAAAGTTTGAATTGTTGACCTCGCTAACAATAAAATAAAGCTTTAAGGCAGTCGTCACCACGGTGAGGAAAATGTATCACAGCAACAGGACAATATTAGTGAATTTTTCAAACAAACATTCATCAATATAATCTTAATAATTTTAATGTCAAAACGAAATTATTATTTGTGATTAAACAGTAAATGTACACCCTCTTATATTAGTTTCCCCTCATCAGTCAAAATGTAGTGATCTCATTCAATTGTGCTGGTGTGCCTTATGTTTTGGCTAATTACGTATCCTTTATTTAACCAGGTAAAAAGCTATTTACATTTCAAACCTTTTTTCCAAGAGTGAAATGAAAAGGAAAAGTGATTTAAGTGCATCGGTGCATCATTGACTGTTGCATCATCGCTGCATTCATTCAGTCTCTCACTGGACTGCTTAAATTCACCTATTAGATTACCGAAAAATACATTAAGGAATGGCCTGGTTAGTAATGCATATTCACAGATTTGAAAGATTTGAGTGCAGTATATTTAAAGTCTCAAATTCAAGTCTTTAGAGTGATGACAGAGCTGCAGAAAGAACAGGTTCAAGACAGGATTTTCAGATCTCCTTTGTTGAATGAAATTCGTACTTTGCCTCATTCATATGAACAAACTGAATCACTGTTACATTGGTCACATGAATTTGACTCATTTTCTGATATTCCGGAAAAAGCTTAAGTAACTTTGCCTCTATGGCAAATTGAGCATGCTCACTGGGGATATGCATCTTAAGTAAAGGAAACCTAACAAAAAAACAGCTCAATACACTGGCAGTCAATGGTAGATGGTGATGGTGGCTTACATTAGTTCTGCTATTAGAGGAGAGGGACGGGAACCAGCTGCTACCTCCAACACACACACACACACACACACACACACACACACACACACACACACACACACATGCACAACAATGACAACACACACTAGGGGTTGGCCGTCCATAGAGATTATTTATAGATGATTCAAAGAAAGTCAAGTCATATTCGATAAGTTGATTAAACCTGTTTTACAAAGGCACGAGCTCCTGGTCTCATTTATGGATAGCTAAACAACTTGCTCTGTTGGTGTGTCGTGTATCATGTAACTTCTATGACAAATAAAGTTCTCGTTAGCACACAATTGAAGTTTGTGGTCTTCACTTGTTCCTCGCTGCCATTTTAGTGGTTCCACTGTTGCTGGTTTAAATATTTTAGGGCTAGCTTTGAATCTTTGTTCAAAGCTAATGTGGATAGCCATTATTGTCATCCACAAACACCTTATTTTTGTTCTCTTGGTCTCCCCCGCAGACATACTATATGAAGTTGGCGTCTTTTTGGCCGAACATTTCGTCTTTGAACAAAGTCCTGCAATGGTGGCAAATGGGTGAGTACAAAGTCCTCTGTAAATTGTAAACTGGCATATTGGAGGTGTCAAAAACTCACATTTAGTGATTTGCTGACTTCAAGTTTTAATCATGAATGTGTGGTAGTGAAGTCCACTCGTCGATTAGTAAAAATTGGCTCAGAGCAGCACCATGATCGAGGTGAGCGTCAAGCGTAACACACTGAAAAAAAATGGTGTTTTGAATTTACTCCATTTTATTTTTTCAAGTAGCTGAACACAATAGAATCATCTGGCTTTACATACAATTTTTAGGTGGATAAACATGTCTGGATCCAGAAGACTTTATTTGCAACAACCTGACAAGATAAAATGGAATAAATTCAACACATCTGGTTCAAACGATCAGCTCACGAGCAAGCTGTGAAGAAACCAGAAAACAATGCTGATCATCACCCCTGAAATCTCATGCCTTCCTCAACATCAGAATTGTAGAATGTCTTTAGTACTTTGATAAACTTTATTCAATATTCTTCAGCTAACTGCAATGCTGTACACAAATATAATAATAATAATAATAATTATTATTGTAACCACAAGTATGATGCTTGCACAGTGAGCAATATTACTACTACTACTACTACTACTACTACTACTATTATTAATATTAATCCATCCTTCCATCCATCCATCCATCCATCCATCCATCCATCCATCCATCCATCCATTTTCAACACTGCTTATCCTGAAGAGGGTTGCGGGAAGTTCTTGGAGCCTACCCCGGCTGACTTCGGGCGGTAGGCAGACTACACCCTGAACCGGTCGCCAGTCAGTTGCAGGGCACATATAGAGACAAATGACCATTCACAGCCACATCCACACCGTCACTGAGTGAGAACCGATCCCATGCTGCCTGCACGCAAGTCAGGCGAGTGCACCACCACCACTACTACTATTACTACTACCACCACGTAGTAGTACTAAAACGTTTTTTTAAAGTTGGAAAATAAGTTGCTGAATAGGCTATATAAGTTTCATGGAGCTGCCTTGTTTAAATCTAAATGCATTGGGCCCCTTTACTGACACTGTCATTCAGAACAATTTGTTCCTTGTTGTATTTTTTAATAATAATTGATTTTGTTGCTTATGTCGCGGTTTATGTTAACTAACTCTACAAAATAAAAATCACCAGTTTTCTGCTGATTGCATACCATTAACATCATATTTCAGGAACAGTGAAGGAATGTCCTTTAAGTGTGCAGACTTAAGGTACAATGGAGCTGTCATGTGAGCTGACCTGTGCGGTGGACAAGGCGACAAAGCTGGGCGGAGGTGAGTGGGGAGGGGTTGGGGGAGTGGG